ATCATTGTCCCCTGCGTGTCCCGAGAGCCACGACAGAGAGCACAGAAGAGGTGAATGGACCTGGGGAGGGCATCCCAAGRGCAGGAGTGCTGGGGAGGTCCCGCTGGCAGCCGACTTCATTGGCATGAAACGAGAGCAGCGCTGGGGGTGCTGCCAATAGACAAATCAAAAGAAGYCACCGGCCAGACAACACTAATTCCTTCCTCAGGTTTCCCCCCACATGGCAGAGCTCTGAAAGGATGGCTGGGTTTATTTTAATTCAATGTTTTTCTTGGCTGGATTTGGTTTCCTTTTCCCTCTGCCACTTAACAAACCTTGGCCCTGCAGAGTCACCATCTCTGGTGAAACCTCAGCCTACAGAAACCATCTTCAACTGGGGACAAGGACAAGTCCTAATTCCCTTCACAGAGTCCCATGTATCAGCAGTGTCTCCTTGCCCCTGGGCTCACTACAGCCCAGCTATTCCATATTACTGACACCTCATGCAAGCAAGAGGGACCAGGAAAGAGGAGCTCGAAGGATATTTGGGTCGTAAGACTTCACGGTCTTGAAGGTCTTGAAGGTATCTCTTTTGGTTAGAAACAAGAAATAGTAAGTTCTAAATTAAACCCCAAGATACAAGGGAAAAAAATAAAAAAAATTAAAAAAAATAAAAAAGCAGGTACTAGGGGAGACAGTGACAAAGATCAGAGCTCTTCTGTCCTCCTTTGACAGGTCATTAAATGAACCACTTCCCAGCACAGCACAGCATCCATAGGTGCATCGACCTCCTAGAAATACACAGCCTTGCTCCTCGTTGGCCCTGCCAATGGGAASAGCAACAACCCCATCCATTGGACTGAAGTGAAGGAAACCTCCTGAAGTGAGGGAAGAGCACCAGGTTCAGCTCTAGCAGACTGGAAGGAGCAATCGCCCAGGGCCCGAGGTCTCCGGGGTTTGGCTACTCCACCAAAACCAGGGCAACTGGCTTTCCTGGGGCACATACAAGATTCAAGAAGGAAGCTTCAAGTTTTGTTTCAAAGAAGCAGGGTTTGTTCAAGATTGCTCTGATCCTGCAGCCCCTTTGCTGAGCTCTCTGAGGATGCGGACGTGACGGGGATGTTTGTGGTCCAGGACAGACACAACAGCCCTGTCACCAGGAGGTTGTGCTGTTGGGGGCTGTTGTTCTCCCCATGGAGCCAGCTGCAGGACTGGCGTGGACGCTGCCCATGCTGGGAGCAATGCAGAGGTGCATGCTATGGCCCACTCACCTTTCCCTGTAGATTAATCATTCACTATATGACACTTCCTGCTGCAGGAGCCCCCAAATCCACATCGGGGACAGCTGTATAGGTAAAATACACATAATGTTTAGCTGTTAAGCAATTTTCAAGCATGCAGTAATTTGTCTCCGCTAAGCTCTTTTGGTCCCACACAGAAAGGTGGAAATGCCAGCACGACRTTTATATTTGACACCAAAGGAAGGAGAACGTGCCTTCCAGAMAGCAGAAATTGCTCCAGCACTGTGACCCTTTCTGCTCGCTGGTTTTCCAGGCCACACAATTCCTGCCAAGTCTGGATCCGCAGGAGAACAAGGGAGTCCCCCTTTGTGAGCTGCAGCCTCTAGTGCTGTTGGCCAACGCCAGTCACGTTGGCTCATCCCTTCCTCGGCCTCCCTCTGGAAGTAGCATGATCCACATCAGCCGGGACTCCTGCTTGCAGATCCGCTTCCGTCTGGGCAGTTCCCACACCTTAAAGGAAGCCGTCTTCCAGGGTAGTAAAACCACACCTAACTACCTAACATTGCTGAGATTTGTCTAAGAGTTAAGAGAAAGCAGGAAATTTAATGTTGGCTAGGATTTCAGATGGTGCAGAGTGTGAAGAAACCCTGTGCAGTCCTGCCCACGAGCGTCCTAGAGGGTTGGTGGCACCAGCGCCCTATGGAGGAGGCAAATRCGTGGCCAGTGCTCAACATGTCCACACCTTGCTGGTCCAGGCCTGCCTGCTGGCTTGCGGCAGCGACCTTGAGGAGATCTTAGCTCGCAGGACAACAGGGCAGTATCGCTGGGATGGAGACCCAGTGATGCAGGAGTCACCACTCTCCCCAAAGTCCAGTCGCCTCTGTGGACGACAGCAGGGCCTACGCAAACTCTGCACCCAAGACTGCACTGAAAACAACTGATGGAGCTGGCCTAGCTTCTGTTTAAAGAGTCTAGACACTCCAAGATAGACAATAACCCCCCCTTTTTAATCCCTTCACCCACGGATCTGAATTAGAAAGAAAACATATCCAAGAAAGGTATCCCTTTCTTTAAAGGGTCCCTCTTCACATGCTCCATTCCAAGGGCTGCCAAAGCTGTCCCTGCGTGAACGGTTTGGTTCAAAGAAGGGAAAAGGATGAGCAGGACCTGGGAGAGCTYCCATGTGAGGAGAGGAAAGGGGAGCAGGGACTTCTTAGTCGGGAAAAGGAGGACTGAGGTAGAGGGAGAGGATATCTGTAACAGCAGAAGTGAAAGGAGAGGGTGCATGAGGAGCCACAGTCGTTGTCACTCGGTTGTCAGGGGTGGCTTTGTGGGCAGGACGCTCCCCTCTGATGTACAGCAGGACCTGGATGTAGGCACAAGTGCTGAGGTCCCCTGGGATGCAGAGGTCCCTCTTGACGGATCTTGGCACGGAAAGCCAAGCGGAGCAGCTCTGGTGCTGGAGGAGGAGGGAGAGGCACCGGGCGTAGCACAGACCAGGGCTCCGAGTGACCTCGTCACAACATCCCAAGGGTCTGGGGTCCACGGGGGTGGACCCGGCTGCGGATGCAGAGCAGCTCCCTTGCCCCAGYGCAAGCGCAGCCGGAGCAGCCAGCACGGCCTTCGGAGCACGGCCAAGGACAAGGACAGCTGGGTTGGCGGGCGCCCAGCGCCTGCTCTGCAGCGGGAGCCCTGCTTGCTCCCATGCAGCCCGGGCACATCCCAGCCATCCACCTTCACCTCCGGCCCTGGAATCAGGGTGCAATTAACTGCATTAACACTCAGTCCTTCCACCTGGCCTGGGTGCAGCAGGAGCCCCAACATCTCCACAGCACCCAGCTCCTCAGGCCGGGAGAAGAAACTGGCTGCCCACAAAGGGCTGTGAGGGGGGGACATGGACCTTGCTCCACACTGCGGCCACCCCAGACTGCCACCGGTCATGTTGGCACCAGCGTCCTGCAGAGTGGAGCGTCCTCCTCCTCACTGCCAGTCGTGCAGCGCAGGGGGAAGCCCATCCTGCATGGAGAGGGCCATCCTGCATGGAGAGGGCCATCCTGCAYGGAGAGGGCTATTGGCAGCATTCACAGCCAAAGAGGGTCAAGCCTCCTCCAGGTCTGCAAACTGGTTAAATATATACAATCTGAGCTATAATACAGATAGGAAATACAAGAAATGCCTTTTCTAGCAGGCATTGTTCACTCCAGCTCTTTTTTTGACTTCAGCTCTTTGCGAGAGCTTTGCTCTTGTAAATACCTTGTTTTCTCTTTTCTGCCTTTCGTGCCCAACTCTCTGGAGAGAGGAATGTCTCTTTCCACTGTCCAGGATGTGGCCACCATGATTTGTTCTTCCCTTAATCCTCCTTGCACCTGCACAAAGCACAGAGAACAGTCAGTGGAAAGCAGAGACTTGACAAGATCCGAAAGCACAAGGGTATTTCTGTACATGCGACTATAGATACCCCCCAACAAGGATCAATACTGGTCACTAAAGCAGTGCAGARCGAGGCTCATCGAGGTCTCCCTGCGCACCAATATGCCAGGAGGGGATGAAGCGGAGCCGCTGCCACCGCTGGCGGCCCCGTGGGGACGTGCTGTCCCCGCTCGCRCCGCTGTGCGCTCTGCATACCGGCTCGCACCGGGGCGAAGGGCAGGGAGGGCGCCGGGACATCCCGCTCGGAGGCTCCTGACAGCCCCCCCCCACACGAGGCGGCTCTGCAGGATGCAGTGCCCCAGTGTCGGCACGTGTGTGTATGTGTGTGCATATATGAAGGGAGGAAGAACAAGACCCAGCATTACCCAAGAGAGGAACAGAGGAAAAAGATAAGATCCCTCTTTGCCTCCACTTCTCTAGGATGAACAAAGCCAGCTTCAGCCCCAACCATCTCGAGGTCTTCCACAGGTTTTGCTCCAATGTGTTGATGTCTTTCTTGTGCTGGGGAGCCCCAGCCTGGGGCTGGCATGCAGAACAGAGCGGGAAAGCAGCAGAGCAGTGCTGAACTTTGGCTAGCCCAGCCCAGGGTGAGGTGGCCCCCTTCAYCACGGCAGCTCCGCAGCCCGGGCAGCGGGAAGGACAGAGAGGCCTCCAGAGCTGGGCGCTGCCTCCATTGCCCGGGAGCATCCGCAGCCCGGCCTCGCTGCTGCGCCGCTGGCCTCGGTGGTGACCTTGGGCCACGTCAGCAGCACGGGGCACAAGGCGCTGCAGCTCCGCCGGCCATCGGCCCCGCGCTGCGCCCGGCAGTGCCAGCCCTCGCGTCCAGCACCCGCCGAGCAGGGCGCTCGTGGGTGCTGGAGGGGCGTGGGAACAGCCACACACAGGCACACGCATGTGCACACACATACACACGTGCACACACATATAAATACAGGTGCACACACATACACACAAGGGCGCTCGTGGGTGCTGGAGGGGCGTGGGAACAGCCACACACAGGCACACGCATGTGCACACACATACACACGTGCACACACATATAAATACAGRTGCACACACATACACACACATGTGCACACACATACACACACACCACGCTGCTAGAGGAGGGGTGAAGGCTGGAGCACCAGTCTCCCATCCCTGCTTATCCCCCGTTATCTCCCAGACAAACCCAAACCAGGGCCGGACAGAGCACAGGGGCCCTGACGGGCTCACGCTCGTGGCAGCCAAGGCTGGGCCACGCTGCCGCCGTGGACTCTCCRTGGCTGGATGGGGCTGGGGCAGCCCAGGACATGGGGCAGCACTTTGGGGTGCAGTGCAAGGTGCTGGGAGGACGGGGTAGCCCAGGCTATGGGGCAGCACCCAGGGGTGCAGTGCAGGGAGCTGGATGTGTCTGACACAGCCCAGGCAGTGCCCAACACCCAAGGGTGCATTGCAGAGTGTTGAATGGGGCTGGGGCAGCCTGGACAGCAGGAAGCACCCAGGGGTGCATTGCAGGGTGAAGGGAGGATGGGGCTGGAGCAGCCCAYRCTATGGGGCAGCACCCAGGGGTGCAGTGCAGGGTGCTGGGAGGAAGGGGCTATCCGCRAGGCTGGCAGCAGCCCCACCAGGTGCCACGGCAGCGGGGGGACCTTTGCAACACCTCAGGCGATGCCAAGTGCAAGCRCGGCAGCCATGTCACAGCCTCAGCRTGGACTCTGCACTYGCCGGCACGTTGGCCTCGGCCCCGCCGGCAGGGAAGCCCRTCCCGATAAGATAAGACCCTGCCACCTGCCCTGGGCTGCCCTGGCGGGCACGGGGCCGCCGGGCTCCACATCCACCTCCACGGAGCATCCCCAMGCCTGGGAGCTGCTGGGAACTGCCCCGAGGGGGCGACTTGTCCCGTCTCTCTTTCTGGACTTGTGCCCAGCTRCCTCGGGGCGCAGCGGGACTCCCGCCGGGCTGCGGCTCCCTCGGGACGCCCGGGTCCGCGCAGCAGCGCCCGGAGGGGACGGGCATGCGGATACCCGCGGCCGGGGCAGGCTCGCCCAGCGTCAAGGCCGCGCGGGGGACGGAGGCTCCCTGTCCTCGTCCCCTCCTCCCGCGGCGGGGAGGAGGAGGGAGCGGCGGGGACGTCCCCGCAGGGTCACGTCGGGTCCCACGCGCGGCGGGGGCGGCGCGCGGGCGGGGCCGCGGGCGCG